TTGTACAAATTAAGTGCTTTACAAAAGTATTCATAACCCTTGAAGTTTTTGGATTTTGTCACATTACAGCCAAAACCCTGAGTGTGTTTTATTGGTATTTTATGTGGTAAACTTGTGTCTCATTGTGATGTAAAGGAAATGATTAATTTAGAGAAATCATAATAAAATCTGAAAATGTGACATGCTTTTATATTCTGCCCCCTTAATTCAATAATTTGTGGAAATAAATTTCATTGCAACTACTTGAAGGCACACTAGACTTCATGATGTTCAAATACTCTGTAATAAATTGCTGAGAACTTTTTTTTATTATCTGAGATTAAATTACTTGCAGGAATATTCTGTTTGCCAATGAGTGACTTCTGAAGGCAGGTTATTGTTGCTGAATTTGATTTACGGATATTGCAGTAAAGGTGACTGACGTCAGAAAAACGGATGACACACTTTCAGTTTTGCATAAAAATACAGATGAAAAACCATACATCATTTTCTTTCTACTTGGACAGAAAAATATTAAAGGGCGGGGGTTTTCACCTACAACCAGTCACTGCCCGACTGTTAGTTACAGAACTGTGAGTGTGTGTCTCGATAAACTCTTATTAAGCTGTTTTTTTTTATAGATTGACATTTTAGAAGAAAAAAACCTACACAGTATTTGATGGTTCAAGCTAAGCATTTCTGTTAAAGTATGATATTTATGCAACGCAAGTTGCTCTGTGGTGCAGTAGATCCAATTTTGAGTACCGACATTAACATTGGAAAACTTTTATAGGAAGTGGGTCATTCCTGCAGAGTTTTATTATTTATTTTTTAATCATTTACAGTTGATGTAGTTGTGTTGCTGAAGCACGTGGCGTGTAACGCCATTTTGAGCATGAGAATTGTAATTTTCTGTCTGTAACAGAAAATACCTCCTGGTTCTGAATACATGTGTTTTGCATTGTAGCTAAAAGGCTGATTTTTTGCGAAGGCGGTTGACGGTGGCATCAGCAACCAGCCCTCGGCAGTGTGTGACGGAAGCCAGCCCATCTGTTATTGCAGGCAGAGAGCTGTAATCCCGTATGTCCTGGCCCTTTGTTGCAGATTGGCAGTGACATTTCATCAACACAGGTGGCCTAGTCATGACAAGCACACACACACACACACACACACACACACACACACACACACACACACACACACACACACACACACACACACACACGTACACACAGACAAACATGACAGAGAAATGCACAGCAGAGAGCCGACCTCTGGAATAACAAAACATCCTCTGCAGCTTCACCTGTTGCTGAAACTCATACTGCTAACTAAATTCATAATATCTAATTTGCCAGCTCTTTTTATCCAGCATTTTTTTTAAACTTAAAAAATAAGCATTGTTATAAAAACAGTAATATACTCTTTGGTTACCAGATAGCCTATGTAATCTTCTCTTTAATAGCTACATTACAGTTTGATTGCTTTTCTTTTCTTTCTCTTTTGTTGTAGTGACTCACGATAAACGGTTCATGCCACATTTAAAAGTTTCACAGTTTGGTGTCATCATGTTTTTATAATGCAGAAACTTCAATAAAAGAGCCTTGAAGATTTCATAAGCCAATACAAATCAACTTTATAGTTGCTGTTTTGGTTTCCAAGCGTGGACATGTTCCTTTTTTTTGCAACAAAGTTTCAAGAAATAGTTTCACTAATCGCTTGCTTCTGTTGACGATGTAAATTTCGGATTTCCCAGTGGCTGATTCATTAAGAAAGCCCTCACTTTTCTGAACATGTTGGCAAAGTTCTTCTGGAAATAGAGCCAGGTTTTTCTCTGGATTGTGAGTTTGTGAATTTCATTTGTGTTTGTTAAAAGGAGAAGTTAACGAACGAGAGATAAACATCTCTCAAAAGACACTAAAGCAATGTAAAAGGAATGATAGTTTTGTAAAGAGTTATTTTCATTTTATAAAAAAAAATAATGTGTCAAAAATGATTTTAAACCTTTCTCAATAATCAATAAAAAAAAACTTCATGGGTATTTCAACTATCAAACCCTTCTTTTAATTACTGACCAGATATATGTTTGACTTTATTTTTGATTTATCTTTGGTTATGATCGCCAAAATGTTTGAGTTTTGATGCTTCCTCATCACCCTAATATCTAGCTCCCTTTTACTTCCTTGAACTGGGTTTCTGGGTTTCCTTGAACTGGGTCTCTGCTTCTTCAAAATGTTAATAGTACTGCCAGTAGTCTGAAGAAACCTACTGGATAAAATTAAACAATTTTTTTAGCATTGTCTCTCTCAGGTTGTATTTTCTTTTCAGCAATGGACTATTTTGTTTCAGCTTGAACGGACTTTCTTTTCCTTGTGCAATTTTTCTGCAGCTTTAAGGCTTTTGAAGTTCTAGTGTTAAAATGATCTGACGAGGAGCATCCTGTAAACCTCTTCAGTGAGAAGGATCTCCTCCATCTTCATTCTTTGAGATTAGGTGGCTGAATTTTTTTTTATGTGTGCTAAGCTGACATTTTGGACCTAAAAAAAAGATTCTAAGCAGCTTACGTTCTCTTCTTTAAAAACCCCACATCCTATATGTTTTCAGTCATAAGCAGGGACAGCTTAATGCAGAAATAACCTTGCAATCTTGATAAAGATGTGTAACATTAGCTTCTGTTATTAGCTTTACATTTGTGGTAAGTTCGAAAATGGTAAATTTGTTTAAAGACATGACAATAAGAGCTGTTTGTAAACATATATTTTATTTCATTAATGATGGACATTTGTTGCAAATTATTGAGTAAAAATATTGCCACTTAAAATAAAACAATTCACTGTACACACATAACTTCACACATGAGGCGTTTATTGCTGAGAACTATTCTATGCTTCCTGGCATTTTCACTTTCTTTGTCTTTTTTTTCTTGTAGTGTGATTAGACACAGAAATCCCACAACTTCTTGTTTGCACCAGAAGGGAAGAAAACTACAGGAGCATAAATGAATGTCTTTATACATCATATGTGACTAATGAGTATAATTAGATTATCACGGTCCTCAGCAGAGGTTTCTTGCTGACTCGAGCTTCCGGATCCTCTAAATGTTGCTTCCTTTCTGTACCGCTTCCTGTCTCCAGCACTTAGCCATCAGCTGCATTCATTAAAACCACTGGTGCTGTTTTATCATAGGCTTGAAACACAAGTCCTTAGACCTCCTTTATTGTGACGAGGCTCTGGCTTCTTATTTCCAATTTCAGATGTTTACAGTACTGAAACCAAACATTAATTCAGACTGAATGCTTCCTGTTTTTGGTTGTTTAGGATTAAAATAATTACTGTTTGCTGCATGCCACGTTGTATAGATTTGCTTATTATTTTGAATTTTGGCCCATTGCTCCTGACAGAATTGGTAATTATTGAGTCTGTAGGCTGTCTTGCTTGCTGACGCCTTTACAGCCCTCCCAAAGTTGTCTATAAAACCAGTGATTTGGCCCTGACTGGAATCAGGGTCTTGTTATGGTCACTTAATGTATTTTTTTAATCTCCTTAAGCCACTTTGTAAATAATTTGGTGGTATTTATATTGTCACTGACCTTCTTGCACCAAAGCTAAAACTTAGTGGCCAAGGTCTTGAGATGTCATTTCAATATTTTCACATCATCCTGAAGCCATTTGTTTTGTAAAGTGCACCAGTCCTTCCTTCAGCTAACTAACCTGAATTTAAGCATTATGGTGACATTCCCAGGTCTGCAAACTTCCCCCGTTTTACAGCAAATGCACCAGTGCACATAATGTCCAACAATGTTTTACTTTTTGTTTTAGTTTCATCAGGTTACACCAAGTGTTTTTCAAGCATGTGTAAACTGTCAATGTTGCTTTTTATTTCTTTTGGAGTGAATGCTTTTTCGTGGCTAAAGGCCCCATTTGTCTTTGCTCACAACGTTTTTTTTTTTAGCTTTTATTTTTGGGTTGATGCCCACATTTCAAACCAAATCTGTCCATATCTGGGAAGTAGAACCCACTTCCTTCCAGAACAGGACGATCTGAGGACGTTCCCATTGTGTTTTTACTTGAATAAAACAGTTTCAACAGATGAAGACATATGATTATTTTTAATAAACTTATGAATTTGAAGAATGTATGGTTTTTTGGGTTTTCTTTTCCTAAAAATTCTCATTTGTTTCTTTGGCACATAGAAAACAGAAATAACTTTGGCAATTCTAACTGACCTAAAACAGATGTTTTGTCTGATTTAATGTAAATGGGGAAGAAAAAGGTTGTTATTTTTTTATACAGTTTTTTTAAATTTAAGTATCTGATTTGAACTGACTTTATATGTAGAGTTTTATCTGTTTGCTTTGTATGGAGTTCACTATTGATTTCACTTCCTCTGTATGAAAAGTAATTTCAAAATACTGTTTGAACCTTTTCTTTAACTTGACACAGATGCTTCCATTTTTTTCCCTTGTCGGATTAAAAGTGGGTTTGCTTTTTGCCTAAATATTGCAGCTTGCGCTTGGTGTTTTGCTTGTTGAGTTGTGTGTTGGGGACGGAGCCAAAATGAGGTCAACAATAGTTGTGGATCCTGTTAAGGATGTTGGTACAAGTCTGTCGGTGTGCGTTTGTGCCAGGTCAGGGCTTGATTAGCGCAGCAGGGCGTAGCAGTCGAGTCCAGCTGCTCTTTGCAGAAGTATGCCATGACACACAGTGAGGCCTCCAGTGAGCGATCCACCAGCCAGCAGAACTATGTTCTCAAATTAATGAGACAGATGGCGCGTTGTGTGTCGAATCCCTCAGCAGTAGCTGACAGTTGTTCGCAGGTTGTGTGAAAGTGCATACAGGTTGGAGGATTATCTTGTTTAAAAGTATTGGAATCGGATCTAAACAACATCTCGTGTTTATTCGACTGGTGCCACACGCAAAGCATTTTAAGACACTTTTATTTCTCTCAAAGCTTATTTCTGAGTGGTTACCTCTAACATTTGCAATGTGCTTCATGCGCTTCCTCCTGCTCTTTCTTTCAGTCACCCCCGATCTGTTCCCGGAAACGACGCTGGTGCCGTCTCTCCCGGCGATACCCTCTGCGCGATCCGCCTCCGCCTCCTACAAGGCCCGGAGGCGCAGCAGCGGGGGCGACTGTGCTGCCAGGCCTCGGCCTTTGCCCACAGCCTGCAGGCCAGGCCCGAAAAGAGGCAGCATGGAGGTGGGGATGCGCGTGGTGCGTGGCCTGGACTGGAAGTGGGGGAACCAGGACGACGGCGAGGGCCACGTGGGCACCGTGGTGGAAATCGGCCGGCAGGGCAGCACGACGACCCCGGACAAGACGGTGGTGGTTCAGTGGGACAGCGGCACACGGACCAACTACCGCACAGGATACCAGGCTGCCTATGACCTGCTGCTGTACGACAATGCTCAGATTGGTAAGCACTGAAGATCGGATTGTGCTAAAACAAACTCATGATTACGCCTGTTGCTATGAGCAATTAATTGCTGGATAAATTAGTTGTCATATTTTATTTTAAGGATTTAAATGACCTTTTAGTTTCGATGCCAAGAGTTCTTTACACAATCAAATATTTTTGCTTTTTGAGAGGGTGATCTGGATTATTATGTCATTATTAATATTTATATCATAAACTATAACAAAAAAAGACAATATTATAGTTTATCACAAACTCTGGGACAATTTATCGTCCAGCAAAACTTACTGTGACAGGTCTACTTCTGACCGGATTCATTTTACCCATTAAGTATAAAAATTCTACAATGATTAGATTTACATTTAGGTGAAAGTTCACAGTGCTGTCATTTTAAACTGCTGTTAGCAACTTATTACTGGTTAGCATGGCTAGCAGTGCTAAAATTTCTGTCTCCCTGGTTATTAACAGTTCAGGTTTTTACTTTAGCTCTAAACCTCCATAAAATGTGGAGCTTATCTAATCCCAGCATGTTCCATGCCAGAGGTGGACAGCTCAAGTAGAACAGAAACATAGAGACTTTTTAAACATTCTTCTGAGTTTATTTGTCAGAAATCCTCTTTCTCTCACAGCATAAATAATGTAAAAAAAAATACAGTTTTCTTGCTTTTTTTGTGCTTCCTTTGACTTAATCTTTAAACACCTAACTAAATACAGCTGACTCTAAGTTCCCTCCATTGCTACACCAAAGAACCAAAGCAAAAGTCAAACATGGTCACCAACTGACTTTTTTTTGTGCATCTTCATGAATAATTTTCATGTTTCTCTCCCAAAAAATTTTATTTTTTATTTACTTTAAAGGTACATTTTTTCTGATAAGAAATATTTCTGTTCTCCTCTGATTCCTAAAATGTTTTTGTTTTTTCTGCCATATTCCTGCTTGTATGTCATCGTCTATGCTCAAGCTTTGCGGAACCCATTTTCAGGGGTCTTGTCATCGGCCATCATGTTCTATTTGGGATTACACAGACGCACGCACGCACGCACGCACGCACGCACGCACGCACGCACGCACGAACATGTTTGTTTTGCTATCTTTGTGGGGACTTTCCATTGACTTCCACTCATTTCCACAGCCTAAACCTTACCTTTACCCTTTTCCTAACCCTAACCATCACATCCCTAACCCTAACCAAAACTCAATTCATACCTTAGCCCTAAATCTGACCCCTGACCCAAAAACAGGGTTTCCCCTCGTGGGGACCAGGCTCCGGTCCCCACAAGGATCAATTGGTCCCCACAACGTAGTATA